GAATGCCAAAACCCCAAGCCCTGTGAATGCTTGAAAATTGGTGGGCAATGAATGTGTGGATGAGGGCTTCTTTCACCTAGAAACTTCCCACCTTCCTCCCTAGACACTGAGCTTCTTTTCTCTCCTACCTCTGGGCTTGGGCCCAAGGTAGCTTAAGCCCCCATCTCTGTGCTAACCCATCCTCTGCAATTCCATGGAAAATGCAGGCAGGAGGCAAACAAACCATGACCCTGCTGGAGTGAACTCTGGGTGCTTTCTCTAGCTCCATCAGTTCACTACCATAACCTCAGGAAGCAGACACGTCCCCCCTTGTACAGGTGTGGAAACAGATGGGGGAGTAAAAGTGACTTGTCCAAGGACACGTGGCTTGGATCAGGAGCCAGCCCTGTCTGCCTCCAAAGCCCCTGCCCTTTTTGTTTTACCTTTATTATTTGTTTTTATATTTTATGTAGCCCAAGTTGGACTTGAATTCTCTCAATCCTCCTGCCTCAGCCTCCTGAGGCAGGGATTACAGGCATATACCACCACACCTGGCTCCCCTACCCTTCTACTCTACTGGTAATAGAAGAGGCTGGGGTTCCACAGAAGGCAGGAGAACTTTTCAATAGCAACAGACAAAGGGAAGGAAGGCAGAGCTAGTAGGACTGATGGCAGAAAGCTGAGCTCCCAACTGGACAGCAAGAGTGGTTGGGGCCCAGGAGCCCAGCCTCAAGGGTCAGGAGCCCCTCATAAGTGATGTCCAGAGCAACCCAAATCTTGGTGTCAACTCTATGAATGACACTATTTGCACACAAAATGACACCTACTCTGGGGTAATCTATGCCAGGAGTGGGGATGGGGTAGGCAGGGAGGGGCCTACTCAATGATATGACAACTTGCGTGAGTGACCCATAAACACATGCTCATGTGAGCTGATTTTCCGTGTGTGTGTGTGTGTGTGTGTGTGTGTGTGTGTGTGTCCAGGGTACAGGTCCCTCTCCACAATGTGGCCCAGCTTTCCTGATCCTTACCCTGGACAGGAAGTGTTTCCAGCTCCCCCCATGCAGCCAACAAGCATTAGAGGAGAGGGGTGCAGAGTAAACTTCTCTCCTTGCTGGCCAGAGGAGCTCTCTCTCCCTGCTTGGCCAGAGATCTCAAACTCCAACCAAGGACATGAAGAAGAGCATTAAGCATTTGGCTGGCTGTGACTTGGAGCAAGTGGGGGGTGGGGCAGAGTGCAGGGTCACAGTGCACAGACAATGGCAATACCTGTGGGAAGCCCTGGAGGAGGTGGTGGCGGGGGCCAGAGGCTTCTGGCACCTGCCCCAGGGCTGGGGAATCACAGCTCTGCCCTCCAGCCCACCCGAAGCATATCAGCATCCTGGGGACCTGGAGGAGAGGCTGGCTGCAGCAGGGCTGAGCAAAGGAGAACCACAGAGAGGCCTGTCCAGATCTGTCCAGACCAGAGAAGGCTGGAGAGCCAGGTAGGCAGCATGGTGGCACAGGTGGCACAGGTCCTGGAATGCAAGAGAGCTACAGTTTGGAACCAGAGCTGGTCTGGCGGTGCTGGGTCCACCAGGAGGCAAAGCCCAGGAGTGCTGTGTGGCAAGGGAGGCCCCCCCGGGTTCAAGATTCAGCTGCAGGCACTGGGGAGCCACAGACCTTCCTAGCAGGCTTCCAGCCCAGATGCCAGGGGACTTAGTCTGAGAGGAAGAGGCCTAGGAGGGGGACAAGTAGTGGTGGCTACCACAGTAGTCCAGGGGTAACAAGATGAGAGATAAAGGGATTAGGAGGTTGGTGGAAGAAAAGGCGAGGGACACAGAGCAATGTTACAAGCAGGACTGAGCTGGAGGATTTGGTAACAGATTAGATGTGAAGCGTGAAGGAGAAGGGAGAGCCAAGGGAGATGCTCGGGTTTTCAGCCCCAGGCTGGGGGCGGTGGAGGAGGGGTAGGGAAAGAGCAATGGCAGAGCCCCTGGGAGGAGGGGGCGACTGGAGAGGGTCAACCTGGAATGAGCAGGTTTGGCACATGTGTGCTCCGATATATGTGTTCCCAGATGGCAGCTAAGCCTAGCACTGGGGTCTTCACCCAAAGAAGGGCTCCCCCGACCCCAAGCTCTGGGCTAAGGCTCACCCACATGGTTCCAGTCTGTAGGTCTGGGGCCCAAAGGAGTACCAGCAGACATGTGGGTCAGGACGATCCCCGGTCCCTGGCTGAAGTCAAAGGTGGCTGCTCCTAGGAACCAGGTATCTTGGTTGGGGATTTTGTATCTGGATCAGTACCAATCCTGGGCTCCTGAGAGAGCCCCTCCCAACACGGGCAAGAGAGGGCCAGGTCAGTCTTCTCCTCTCCTGGGGTACCCAGGGCTCCCCAAAGCCCAGCCTACCCCAGGTGCAAGGTAAGGTGAGAATGATGACCTCCTCCCCAGCTGAGTCAGCCTGGTAGGTAAGGGAGGAAGGACAGGGGAGTCTGGGTCACACCTGAGGATGGGGACAGGGACCAAAGAGAAGCAAGGACAGATCACTGGAGTGAGGATGGGTAATGTCACAGCTTGGTGCCCCTCAGACCCCACCTTCCAGGAAAGCCAGCTTCCCATTTCCCTCCTCGCCAGGAGACTGGGGGTCTGTTACACGAGGGTTCCAGGGATGGGGAGGTGTGTGTGCCAGCTGTGTGACTGTGTATAAGGGACACAATCTGGTGAGACAGGTGGATGCCTGTGTACATAGCACAGACAGGGGCCTGCCCAGGTGTGTCTGTGCTGGAGAGACAGGCTTTGTGTGAGGTGGTGGTGTGTGATGTCTGGTGGCAGAGGGTGGGTGCTTGGCCTGGGGAGGGGAGGCTGCGGTGGCTCAGCAGTGCTGGCCCCCGGCGCCCCCTGCTGCCTGGCTGGCTGGCCATCCCTCCCTCAGCCACTCACAGACACATTTTTCACAGGCTGCTGTTTTTAGAGCAGGCGCAGAAGGAGCCGGGGTCACCGCAGGGCCAGCCTGCCTGGGCATCCACATGTGTTCATGGGTGGGGTAGATCCAATGAGAAGCAGGGCCCACTCCAAGCCCAAGCTCTTTGACAGTTCTTCCTACAGCCTGAGAGTTGATGCCAGAGGCAGGCTCTCCTCCAGGCAGCCCTGTGGCACCTCTGCCCACCTGCCAGCCCTGGGCTACCTCACACCAGGCCCCAACAGGTACCCTGCTAACCAGGGATGCAGATTCCCTACTCCACAGGCTCCTGAGGAACCCGACCTCCCCCCCCCATTCCTGGCTTCAGTGCCCTGACTTACCAGCACCTATCACCCATATCATCCATGCTCACCTGTGCAACAGCACACAACAGTCACACACGAGTAGCATGGCAGAAGTCACACACACACTCATCTAGCCACACACACCAATGCTGCACATGCCACACCAACCCCCCGCCATCACCCAGGCACACATGTCAGCCCACAGTCTTCACACGTGCTCACACAGTGACATGCAGCTCTGACCACACAGCCTGTCACACACATCCAACTCAGAAAACATTTCCTGAGCACCTACTCAGTGTCTGGCAGCACTCCCCTGGGTGCGGAAGTGTTGACACCTCTAGCTCACCACAGTCAGTGGTGCATCCCACACCCCGAGTGTTCATCTGGGGAGTTGCACACACACACCTCCAACAGGTACATGTGTGCAATGAATACATACGAGCATCAGCTCAGCCTCCTAGCTCAGTGGGGATTGCAAGGACAGGCTATGGGGAAGAACGATCTGTTAAAGAGAGGATTGAGGGGTGGGGGGCAGTGATGTGGGAGGGAGATGGAGCTGATGGGATGGGTAGAGGGAGGACTCAGGGGGCAGGATGGGGAGGGCAGTGAGGCAGTGGGTGTAGGTTGTGCTGTGCAGCGAGACCCTTTAAGGAGACAAGTCATCAGCCTCAATCATCAAGCTGGTCCCTGAGCTCGCTCTCATTGATCTGAGATCAATCTGGGTTGGCAGTTCAGAAACCCCAAAGCTCTCTTCTACCCTTGCGAGGAACTGTGGCCTGGCCAGGCTTGGGGAAGCTATCTCCCCCACCAGGTTTGGGGACATTAAAAATGGAGAATTGCTAGGGCAAGTCCCATGCCCCCTTGATCACACAAACACACTCAAGCTCAGTTCTGCTAAGTGCATGGAGGGCAGAGATCAGGAGGCCCCCATAGCTCAGCCTCGGTATAGGCTCAGGGAGAACAGACAAAGGATGCAGGGGAACTTCCTTTCCCCAAGCCCCTCAATCCAAGGAGTTAAGGACAGGTTAAGGTGGGCAATGGGACATGCCAGGAGAAAGAAGGGCTGTGGAGTTTCAGAGAGAAGGGAAAGCTAGCGGCCAAACGCACACAACTCTACTCCCCAGCCCCTGCAGGGAGGCCAGGAGCCACAGATCCAGCCACAGGGGCCGCGGCGCTTTGACTGGCGGCTGCAAGAACTGGGGGCTGCTGGATGCGCCTCCACGCCTGAGTGTGTGCGTGTGCGAGCGTGTGTGGCGGGGACAGAGGAGGACACTGTGTTCTGGACGTGGGTAGAGGCCAAGTGCCAAGCTGTGAAATTGTGAGTGGCTGTTTGGGGCAGATGCTCCCGGGAAGAGGTATCCCAACTGCCCCCCCACCCCCGCTCCACTGGAATGTAGTCAAAACCCTCTAATCTTCGAATCCTTAAAGTCAGTCTTCCAGGGATTGATCCAAGCCCCCGATTCTATTCGGGGGGCCGGGCAACCAGCAAACTTCCCCCACCCGAAGGCGTGGGGCGTCTACACTCGCCAGCCCCGTGCGCTGACAGCTGCTTCTGGACTTGGCAGAACCCAGGCTTCCGGGAAAGCGCACCGGGAAGCTGCGCAGCAGCAAGAGGCGGCCCCCGCGTCCCGCCTCGCAAAGTTCGGCCTCCGGGGGCTCCAAGCCAGGTCCGGTAGCGCGGGTCAGGGACCCCCCGCCCCCCGCTCTCCAGAACTGCGAGCGTTCGCGCGCACGATCCCCCGCAAGCCTTCCCAGAGCGCGCGCGGCGTGACTCACCCGAACCGCGGAACCAGGCGGCGAGGACTATGCCCAGGAGTGCTGGCCACAGGCCGGGCCGGACGGCCATGGCCGCGGGCAGGCGGGAGAGCTGGACGCGGGGCCCCGCGGGCGGGAGAGAGGCTTTCAGCGCCTCAGCCCGGAGCCCCTCCGCGGGGCGCCCCCGGGGCCCATGCCAGCGGACTGCGCTGCCTCCGGGCGGCCGGCTGCTGGGCGCACGCGGCGCGTGGCTCCCCTGGGCACCGGGAGCGCAGCAATGCAGCCGGGGCGGAGCGCAGCGCCAGCCGCGCCGCGCACCGAGCCAGCCGCCGCGCGGAGCCCGCAGCCCGGGAGCGGGCCGGCGGGCGCCGCAAAACCCGGACTGGAGCAGCGGAGCGGGGCGATGGCGGGGCGGGGCGGGGGGAAGGAAGGAGGGGCCGGGCCGCCCGGCTGGCGCGCGCGCGGGCCACCCCCAGCACCGGGGATCCCTCTGGGCGATGCCGGAGGCTCCCCCAGGGAGGGGCTGGGGTGGTGGGCGGGGAGGTCTCCCACCGCCCCTCGCGGTCTCCAGGGACCGGGACCTGAGCCTGAAACCCGAAGTGGATTGGTTCTTCGGATCCGGGCTCTCCCGGACCCGCCAGTCTACGCACAGGTGGCCCGGGAGGGGCCCAGGGCTGCGGCGACCCCGGCTCGGCGCCAGCCTGCGGAGAGCGGCCCTGGGTTGGGGTGCCCCAGGCAGGTTCCGCTGCAGTACTTTCTCCCCCCACCCCACCCCTAGCCTCCAGCCCGTGCTCGGAGGTCGTCTGCGTGCCGCGGTACGTTGCCAAACCAGCGGCTTGGATAGGGGACTGCGGGAGAGCTACGGGGCCCCAGCCTGCGCGCAGAGATGCCCAGGCTCCCGAAGACGGACAGGCCAGATTCGGAGCCACCCGCAGTCCCAAACACGCAGCCTTCCGGACTCCTCCGGCACGCAGAACAGGGTGGCTCAAGGTTTCCCTAACCCACGGCGCAGTTCGCATAAGCAAACAACCTTAGGGCGCAGCGCAACCTGCAAGGCGCGCGATGTTTGCGCCCCAAGTGCGCACGGCCCCCGAGACGTAGGCGTGAAGGAACTAGCTGGGTTTTAGGGGACCTAGAAAGTCCTGGGGTAGTCGCCTCCGGTTGCTGGCTCTATGACCTTGGCCAAGTCACGTTGTCTCCCGGAGCCTCCAGCAATGACCGCTGCTGGAGTCTCCTGTTCCCCGCCCCCATCCCCTAATCGTGTTAAAATAAACAGAGGGCTGCCTTGAAGGAGAAGAGGAATGACAAACGTGCTCTCGTGCACGAGGCAAAAGATCAGAAAGAGAGGTCTTAACTCTGGGCCGGGAGGGGAATGAGAAGGGCGAAGGTAGGGTCAGAAACTCAAACGCGCACAAGGTCGGTCGATATTATAAATTGGTCCTGTAGGCTAGGCAATGTAAGAATGGTCTGGGCTTCCACAAAGAGATATGAGCTCTCCTATATTTCTTGAAACACGAGGCCCTCTCTCGGTCTGTCTTTTGTTTCCCACTTTTGATTGAGAAGGTTATGAGAAATATTTTGCTTTCCTCTGAACTCTACCATAAACAACAACAACAACAAAAACCAAAAAACAATCTCAGCCCAAGCACCAAATGTGTACCTACCGTCCTGGACCTCAGTGCCAGGAAGGCAATTGGGGACAGGGCACAGGATCCCATCTCAAGGGGTAGCTAGCTGGCTCTTCTGTTTCAGGTGCCAGTTATTGGGGGAGGGTATTAGAGCCCAGTATGGCTTGATTTTCCACATTTTCAATAAAAGCCCTTGTATGTGAAATGTTCTGATTTCAACATTTTAACTAATAAAATTTTTGTAACCTCTTGTGAGGCCACTCGCTTCTGCTTTATTATTATTTTTTTCAGTACTGGGACTTGAACTCAGGGCCTTCACCTTGAGCCACTCCGCCAGCCCTTTTTGTGAAGGGTTTTTCGAGATAGGGTCTTGTGAACTATTTGCCAGGGTTGGCTTCAAACCGTGATTTTCCTGATCTCTGCCTACTGGGTAGCTAGGAATTCAGGCATGAGCCACTGCTGCCCTGCCTTTCTTCTGCCTTTTTAAGCCTTGCTTTGGGGGCTATTTGTATGTACCTGATGTATGGGGGAGGGGAGCTGATCTATCCAGTGGTGTGGAGCGTGTGTGAGTTGAAAGAATCAGCAGGGCCCAGGCAGTTCTCTTTGCTATCTCCACACCGCTCTCCATGCTCTCAGGAAAGAGGTGTGTGGAAGAGGTGACACAGTGGCAGGACCACACTGTAGGGGAGATGATGGGGACCTGGGGTTTGGGCACTGAAGCTGAAGAAGTGCGATTGGGGCTGGGTATAAGATGACATTACAGTGGTGTTTGTTGAATAGTGCTATGTCCTTGCCTACATGTGTCATGTAGCTTGATCTGCACATGCAGCCCTGTCAAACCAACCTTATTCCCATTATACAGAGAAGGTAGCTGAGGCCCGGGAAGGGGAATTGCCTTGTTGCCCAGGGCTAGCCTTATCCTGTGACTGCTGAGCTAGTTGAGATGGGTCTCCGAGTAGATTGATTTCAAAGTCCAGGCCCTTCACAGTTCCTCCTCCTGCTCTTGGATTAGAACTGAAGAATAAGATTGGAGATGCCAAAAATCTTTTCTCTGCTCAGCTCTCTGCCTCTCTCTTTTTAGGCAGAGTCTGTGGAACAGTCAGGATAGATTAGGTTTTGTCATGGTAACAAATAGTCCCCAAATCTCAGTGGCTTAAATCAACAAAGGTTTATTTCTCATTTGTCCACACGGGTCCCCCAGCGTTGCAGGTCATCCTCACTCAAGAACTCCAGCTGCCGGAGCTACCTTCTCTAACACTGCTGACCAAGGAGGCAGAGGAACAGGGAGCTCTTAGAGGGGCCTGTCAGCAATTGGTGGCTCAGCCCAGAAAGGAGATGTGTCACTTCAGCCCACAAATCCTTGGCCCTGGAAGGTAACGCTGAAATGTATGGACAGGGATGTTAGCAAGGAGCACAGCTGCAGCCCAGTGTGACCTTGGCCTTGCCCACCTCTGCACTTCTGCCTGGGCCCGTTTCCTGGCAGCCACGCTCTTCCCTACTCCAGGCCTTCCCATTTGCTTTTCTTACTAGAACACTCTGTCCTCAAGCCTTCATGTGGCGTGTTCCTTTTAGTCATCCAGGCCTCAGCTCAGCTTTCCCCTCTAAGTGGTGCACAGAGCCATAGCAGGAGGAGAAGGGATGGCACTGCAGAGGCAGGAGTGGACAGCTCACCTGAATTCTGCTTCTGGATCCAGGTCAGAGGTTTGCAGGGAAGGGCTGTATCAGACCAAAGGCAGGATGGATGGCCCAATCAAAGTAAGGCTCCTGAATCTTCTGCCCTTGATTCTGCTCGGACCCAGGTCCTGACTATGACCTAGGCCTCTGCCTTCACAGAAGCCCCAGATTCAAGCTGGGCAGTGGTGTCTCATGCCTGTAATCCTAGCTACTTGTGAAGCAGATATCAGGAGGATCAAAGTTCAAGGCCAGCCCAGGCAAAATGAAAGTGAGACCCTATTTCAAAAATACTTAATGCAGAAAAAGGTTTGATGGAGTGGCTCAAATGGTAAAGTGCCTGCCTAGCAAGTGTGAGACCCTGAGTTCAAGCTCCAGTGCTGCCAAAAAAAAACCAAATTAGAATACTCAAAGAGAAAGAGGGAGGGTTGGGACTGTCAACAAATGTCTATGTCCTCCCCTTACAGTAGCCCATGAACTTGGCACAGGTTTCACCTGCAACCACTCTGCTGGCCAGAAACGTCTCCTCTCTGGGGCGCAAGTCTGCCTCCTCACTGGATTCACCTGTAAGGCCACACCATCTCCTCCTTTGCTGCTGTTATTTCAGATAAGGTCTGGATTGATCTTAAATCCTTTCTCCTCCAGGCTAGTCTGCCTTGGTCCCTGGTATAATAGCAGGGGTCTGAGTCCCTGTCCTTGCCACTTCCACCCTGCAGGTGCTCTCCAGAGTAGCTAGGTCTCTGAAGATAACTCCTGTAGGGAGTCCGCAAATCCCCTGCCCACATGGCCTGATGCACAAGTGGGGTCCCAGTTAGTGATTGGCCAGTGACCTCAGACTCCTAACACTCACTGGAGGCGAAGCTCCAGTCAAGAGTCTGTGGCAAGACCATCCTTAACTTGGAAAGGCATCGAAGTGCCTGCAATTCTGGGTAAAATGCCAATCTCCTGCCCTACTAATTCAGTGTATCTGGAGGTGTCCAGGAATCTGTGCTCTTACTAAGGCTCTCCTACCCACTATGAACTGTTTTTACTGCTGCCAGTGGTCTGAAGACTGCTCACACTCTGAGGAACACTGTCCTTGTCCTTTGCCATGGGGCTACCCAGTGTCCCTCATCTACCCTGGGGTCTCTGATTTCCCATGATTAGATGCAGAAATTGAAATTCATCCCAGTTGTATTCCATCTAATCCTTCTTCCCATATGGAGTCTCAGGCTGTGGTGCTGTCAGGCAGAGTTCTTGCTATTTTCTTCAGCTTCCTGTCATTCCCAGATGAGACTGGGAAATCATATAGACAACAAAGCCCTTACCGAAGAGGTTACTGAAGGCAGAAGCAAGGACAGAGCCCAGCAGCTCCTCTACTTAAGACTACCTTACAGATTGCATTTAGGGCAAAAATTTAGTCTCTCTTTCATCCATTCCAGAAGCCTTGCCTTGGACTCTACCATCATCCAACTCACGTTTCACCACTGCACACACAGAAATAAGCAGAAAGACTCCAGAGCTCCAACTCATGAACCTCTAGCTTTGCCCTGATCTACTAGTCCAATAACCCATCTAAACAGGAAATTGGTTCACCAGGCTGGACCTGTTTATGGAGAACCCATGTTAGCTCTTGTTGGTCCCCGCCCCAGGCCAACCATTCAGATCTACCCATGCTCACCAGCTTCTGTCTTCTGGAAGCATCTTTCTGTCTTTCCTTTAAGGGATCACCCACCCCTTCCCACCTTCAGGGTACAAGATTCATGTGGGGCTATCCCACTCCACTTGCAAAAGATGGCCCATGCTTTTGCCTGGCCAGTCAGCATCCACTACTCCCTGAACCACCATGATTGGTTCAGGGATGGGCATATGACCCAAACCAGTCCACTGATGGGAATTTTGCTGCCAATAAGGGGAGAAAGAACTTCTTTTCTTGATGGATTTGAAACAGAAAATAAATGATCTGGTCTTGAAGCTGCCACCAGTGAAGGGCACATGCCTGAGACTGAAGCCCAGGGAAAAGCAGAGCCTGGAGAA